AATAAAGTTCGGAAACAAACTCACTGGTCTTCTTTCACTGGAAAACCTTCGATTATAATCCGTTAACTGTTCATCACATCGTAGTGCTTCATCAGCACTATTTTCTCTTTCACCTTCTACCGGCAAAGGTATCAGCAAATTAACCTATAATGCAAGTAAAATTCCGCAAGTGATTAAGAACTAATTTATCTCACAAAACTGTTAGTTCTCCACAAAATTGTTACTAGGGAATATGAAATTACTGCGTAAGTAAAACTGCTGAAACGTACAATTTCTCTACACACTGCACATTTTACAGGTGTAATCAAAGACGCACTATACTGCCAGTAACCATAAATGCAATTACCTGCAAAAATACAAGAAAAAATTGAAATTTTTATTGAATTATCACATTCCTTCTATATAAGCGAAGAACTAAAACCAAAGCATGTAATTATCCAATTTATAATCTGATTCAGAATTGCATATTTAGATACTCACAGCAAAATAAGTGGCCACAGTTTGTAACAACAGCAAATGAAGCTTGGCCAAAACATATTGGACAAATATGATCATCTCCAAACCGTCGCAGCGTTCTTGCCCTATTCTAAAACCCAAAAAATAAACAGACTGATAAACGAACCACAACAGCCTCGACAACATACATCAGTAAAGATTATAATATTTTAAGAAAAGCTATCAGGACATACACCACTTGTACCAGTCTCCGGTCCCTCTGCTTGCGCAGCACCCGAAAATGTGCGTCTGAATTCAGTTATAGCCGAATCTAAAGCAGGGTGAATATTTCTTTCCTGCTGCCTAAAATTCGGTTAAAATTATGTAGAAGCTGAACAACGACCAGCTTTGTTCTCAACAGAATAGAGATGTAAGAGTCCTTAAAATGACGAAAATGACTATTAGATTTGAATATCTGGAAATTAAAAGAAATAAAACAAAAAACTATTAAAGTTGCAAATTAAAACGAACAAAAAATAAAGAAGCTTACTCTTGCCGACAGTATAAAAAACAGATCACCCCAATAACAGCACATAAAAACGTGAACATCATAATGATTTCATTATCAAAACCGGAAAAAAGTGTACATTATGCGAAGTTAGAATTAATTTCTACTAAATAAACCTGCACATTTCAAATTTAAAAAGAAAAGTCAACTTTTTTCAAAAATACTCAACAAATATATTGAATATAAAGCAGTCCTTAGTCCAACCACTATCCCAAGTAAGTGGAATACAAGAAGGAAGTATTATAAAATCAAAGCACATGACTACCTATTCCGACTTCGCCTGAAGTATAACTTGAGAACTTCGGTTACTTGGTTTTTTTTATCCATAAGTGTTAAATGAAGGGCTCACCTTCAATGAATTGGATTTCGGCAACATTGGCATGCACCATTACCACTTTCACTAATTTCAATACAATTCGATGACACATTGGTGGGATAGAATAACTGTCATCACTAACACCAACTATTCCAGAAAATGTTTACCTGAAAATAATCTGACAAATTATCCCCAATTTTATGTTTATACTTTTCTGTCATTAATTTGTCACAAAATATACCAGTTGTTGCCAACTTTCTTTTGCATCATTCAAGATTAGAACTCCACATCTTTGATAGAAGATTTATTTCTGACCTTTAAATTCATCTAAAAAAGAGATAAAATTCATCTAAACATTACCCTATCACAATGTAGTATGAATGATCATTGTTACTATTAGAATAGAAGAAATTAAATCTTCGAAGTGCGAACCATAACAAACCGTAGGTTAACGATGACATCGCCAGAATGTCGAAGTGAGACGAACAATGGAACACGTGACCACATGACGTGACCGTTTTACTCCAAACAAAGTGTTAAAGTAAAAGACATTTTGTCGCTACGCACTATTTCCACCCCTCCCCGTTCTCTTTACAATTCTGTCACCGCTTTTGTTCTATGCGTTGCGCACACTCTCCCTCTTGATCAGTGGGATATTCGCAGATTGGAAGGAAATTCTACTCCCATGGGAAGTCGTCATACTAAACTGAGTTGGATTCGATCTGTTTGTGTAGAGGTCAGTGGATCAGATCCGTTGTTTATATTCCATCTTTAGCACAACTATTCCGCAAGGATTCATATTCATTTGGAATATGCAATTAGTCGGAAAGAAGTTTATTTGATACATTGATTTGCGGAATGATTAGGAGGTGACAGAGATTCAACATTTATAAAAACGGTGACTTCTTATAAGCACTGCAATAAGGTGTTGCTATTGTTGCGATTCGCAGACATTTATCCTTTTTGAAAAATAAATGTGGAATAAATAGAGGGAAACCCATTGAAATCGGCATTATTATATCCAGTAAAATTCGATATACAGTTTAAAATAATTTAGACTTAATTCACATCCAGAGGGGATGTAAATCATCACTCAACACTTTTTATGTGGACGAAAAGATAATTGGTAGAATTACGCTTGCCTTTCTTTCACGATCAATCCAGTTTGAGATGGTTAGCAGTGATCATAAGCAAAGAATTGTTGCACCTAGCCTTCAGAGTTACAGGTTACTTACTACTACCTGTACCCATGCACTTTAATTCCTTCAAAGCGAATACTAGTAATTTCTTTGTAACAAATCTCGAGAAAAAAAATAAGCAACCAAAGATGAAACATATCTTCCTATTTCTTTGCTTTTACATGGCCGCTTAATTACTACTCTTAAATCACCTACATCCATTTATCTTTAGCATTATTACTTTATTCTTAACCCTGTTTTTATTATTTTTAATCCCTACTTAATCATTTAAAACTAACGAAGCTCAATTCCTCACGGATCAAAGACAAATGACAAATATTCCAAGTGAGTAAATCAAAAACTCATTAAACTATTTTCTCTATTATGCTTCTAAACATCTACATGTTCAACTAAACCTAAACCTCACCTATATCAACTAAAAATAAATTTTAATCCAGATGCACGAGCAACAATACCTTTCATATATGCTCTCTACATGATCTGGATTAATCAGAAGTTCGAACATAACCGGAGTGTCTCGATTCAATGTTTGTTACTTTATAGTCTTTAATTTATGCAATTATTTGAAGCAGAGATTCTGCTCAATAACCATAAAGGCGTTTATCACCAAAGAATGAACAATGAATAGCATTTCCACAAACTAATATAACAGCAAATGAGTGAGTAGAGCTTAACATATGAAAATTCAAACACGGAAGATCAACTAAAGTGAACAAAAGTCGGTTAGGCTAGATTTACCGCAATTCATTTGACATATTACGATACCATTGGAAGTATAACGACAAAACAAACCCTAAAACAAAAATTCTGAATCTAAAATTGACAAAACGTTCCTTATGAAAGGTCAATTTAAAATTATAGTAAATAAAGAACAAGAACTGTTAGTACACCAGGTTAATAGTATCAACCAATATGTTCACATAAATATAAATTTGTTCTTTTTTCCTCAAATTCTCGTTCTTTTTTTCCAAAATGAAGCACTCCTTCAGAGTGAAATTGCAGCAGATATTAACGACTTCTCACCTTGTCAACTAAAGTATTTTCTGGGTTCTATAAAATACGAAAAGCACTAAAATGACTGTTTCCGATTGACAATATTTCAGCTATTTCAAATATTATAAATCTTCCGTGAATGTAAATTCCATTTGTACCGACTTATCGTTCACACTGACACAGCGAAATCATCCGCATGAAATGCAATTAATATTAATCCTAATTAAAAATTAATCGTGTCTTGTTGATTCCAATTTGTCTTTTGCTTCATTAATTTTTGCAGCCAAATAGGGTGAACCACCACGATCAGGATGATTGGCAATCATTATACGTTTATGCGCTTCTTTCACTTTTGGCGCTGGAGCACTAGGTGATATACCCAGGACCAGTGCTGCTTCACGTCGTGTCATAACAGGCTCGAAACCGCCACGATAGTACTTTGACATACTATTTGCAACTGGCAATGTTTTGGCCATTTTTAGGAACGCTACACGATTTCGTAGCATCAGTCGTCCAACCAGTCCAATAGCTACCATACCAACGCCACCAACGATAAGCGCAGATGACATCCCTGGATTCCGTCAAATTTTAAAATTTTATGCAATTACTTTTAATGAAAATATATCTAATATTTTTTATGAACAGTTAATATATAATATTCATCAAAAAATGAAATAACTTAGCTATAGGAAGATCTTCTTACTTTCATTAATTAAAAATTTGACGGTTGAACTTCGAATCTGATCTCTTCAAAGATACTTCAATAGAAATAAGAACATCAAGACAACACAAATAATTCCTGAATAAAAAAGTGTCTCCACTGCTCCAAATCGTCCTGATGTAAGACGCCATAAACTAATCTCTATTTATTTCTTGCTCAGAAGTAGCAATGTTACAGATTCAAACTGCTGTCGTAAAAAATTCGACTTTTCAATACAATAATTTATTTTTTTCTCATTACTGGAAACAATAATTAACATAACAAACAAGTGAGTAAAAATATAAATAAATCCAGCGGACGAAAAAATTGACACAAAGAAGTGAATAAACTGAAAAAAGATAATTTAGTTTTAAATTTTCAAAAAATATTTATCTAAATCAATAAGTCAAGTAAGAAATCAGTGCACTGTAAAAAATCTAATTAGAATAAAGAAAGACCTTCATGAAAATTACATGAGACTAAAAAATTTTTGCAAAGAAATAAAAACCAAATAAAAAAGAACTACAAAGACTTGTAGGCAAAGAAAAATACGGAACACGTAATATAAATTAGGAATACTACTTCAATTTAAATAAAATGTCTATCGCAATTATTATTTGACAGCCGTCATAATGTTAAAAAAATTTACTCACCTCCTCTCGGTTTATTTCTTTTGTCTATCTTACGGACAACATGAATTTTGTTTTTCTTTTCATCCTTCCCTTCTATCTTCCCGAATTTTTCTGGCGCATCGAAAACCTTATATCAAATTCCAAACGTTCTAAGATTTTACTTCTGCAAATTTTATAATACTTTGAGTAATTTCTAACAAATTTATTTTCCTTTTTTAGTGACTTCTTTTCCAAAAATTTCATAACTTCTCCCATAACAAACATGTTTTTTTATTTCTCAATCATTTATTTCTCAAGCATGTTTTTTTATTTCTCAATCTTAAAGTCCGACCATCCTTAACTAACAGAACCGCTGTTTAAATTAGATATTACAAATCATTAAATCAAAAAATCTATCTTCATCACTCAACTTGTTTCGTTTCACAATGCGCTTCTGCTCCACTTTTAAAATTATTAAAAGAGAGCTTTTTCTCTTCTTCGTCATCAAAATCAATGATATCTGTGCTTATTTCTTTCGTAACTTCATCCATATCTAGCATGGAATGATCGGGACGCGGTGTAACTCGAACGCCAACTGCTTCCAATACTTCAGTTAACTTTCGAGAGTAGTCTAGATGACCTTTTATCTACAAAAAAGGATGAATTCATAAATTTACAATAATCTGCTATCTTCAATATGCAACTATGTATTATTTAATCAAATGCTTTAGTAAAGAAAGCTATATTAAACTGTTAATATAATTTTTTGAACAGAGTGAACGAACTAAGTGAGAAAGATTGAAATTAACAATTTTCTTTTCCATTTTGCATGTTACAGGACCCGTGCCAGCAATCGTAAACTGTACACTCATTGCACGGTAAATAAACCTACAAAATTGACAATTACATCAAATATAGAATTCAGAAACATTCACTTTATGAACTTCGAAAAATATACCAAAATTTATGTAACTTCGTTACAAGAAGTAGACTAAATTAAAAGACTCAAACCCAAAATAATATTTTTCTTCTTTGCATCCTAAAGACTTAAAAAATATGGAGAGATCCAAACATGAAAATTCTACCTTAATAACCAATCACTATTACAATAACCATTTATAATCCGTCCTCCAACAATGTGACTTATCTGCTGCCATTGAATCGGTGAAGCTGTTACAGGTGCACCAAGAAGTACCACATCATTAATTATTCCTGGAATCCTTGTTTTTTAATTTTACATCAGCATAACTGTAGAAATAAGGAAAAATTACGGCACATAATAACAGCAGCAGTGCTACCAAAAAGAAAAAAAAACTCACCGTAACATGTGGTACGTTTGGTCATAGCCATTAAGCAATGAAAAATGACACGTGCTCCAAGAGAAAATCCTATTAAAGTAATAGGACGGTTGCCATGTGCACGACTTAACAATACCTCGGCTAATTGTTCACCGACCTGAAAACTATACCACCGTCTGGTAACTAATCTTAATATTTCATAAAGTCCTTTTCATTTGTCTCCAGAATTTTAAACGTATGTTTTTTAAAATATCATTTTAAATGCTTAATAAATAATTATCTTCTTCCGAAAAATGCAAACTATAGGAATTCATGCCTCGGCGGCTCGCCTTACGCAAACATTCCATGGGTTGTCGATTACACTAGATGCGGAAAGAAGTGCCACGGGCCAAGCAACCGCAGCAACTAAACCTGAAATAGTTTTCCTTCATCTGGAATTTTAAAGGAAAAAACTGGAAAGCAAAAATATCAGAAACGAACATGAGATATCAGAAACTAAGATCAGCACAAGAAAATACCAGCAAAGGCAGTTTCCAAAAGAGTGTGTTGAACAGCAAGTGATACAGCAAAAGAAGTCAAATAATTAATTGCTCGCCCTAATTCTACTAAATATTTGCTTTCATAACGCAAAATATATTGTTCGCGCGACATCCACAAATGCCTCCATTGCTGTTGAAAAACACGTTCTCCTTGCTAAAACAAATCCTTCAAAATTTTACTAAAATATGATTCAAAAGGTATCTAAACTCCAACTGAGGAAGCAGTTATGTCACGGAAACTTTGTAAGAACCACTCAGAAAAAGCAATTAACTAATGTTAGATAGATCCAACATTAACATAACCGTTACAACAATGGTCGCCAATACAAAATGACAAACTTTCTAATTTCAGATTAATAAGTCTCAAAATTCAGAGATAAGCAATGCGACTTGGGCACAAGGAAACAGTTATATCATGAAAACCTTGTAAGAACATCAACCTACAACATTTTGCATGAAAAATAACTTTTAGCAATTTAAGTGGACTGTTTGGAAGTGAATAAAATCAATTAATATTTTTTATTTTAAATTTAATTACAGAAGATTAAATCACGAATAAAAATATTTCTGCTATCTGAAAACTGTGACTTTAAAAAAAAAAATTACAAATTTACATCTTCAATCCATCCACTAATTGCCAAAACACAATGCAGACTTTGTCCTTCAGAAATTGGCTGAATTACAAATTCTTCAATTGCACCTACTCGTTTTCGCATTTTGTAACCTGAAAAATAGAAAGATCAAATATAAAGTGAAGTCTACTAGTGAAATACGAATAAATTCAAAAATTTGTGATTGGATATAAAGTCCACTTTTTTCAATAAATATCGGCGAAGCGAGTATTTTATCTGTAGACCAAGGAACTCATAAAAACGACAGGACCTTTTGCTAAATTGGCAATGAACATCCATACTTTTTTAATTTACTTCAAATAGCTTGCCCGTTAATCCCGCACCAGCTACTCCAAATAATGATCCAAGTATAGTAGCGCCCGCTGCTGTTGAAATGCCTGCTGCTGCTCCAGCACCAACTACAGTCCCTGCACCAACCGCTACCAACGGTGCTGCTAACCCACCCGTTATTCCTGAAATTCAAAAAATATAATACAGCATGCGAAATCTAGAAAACTTCGAAGAATATGAATATTAAAAATTCCACCTAGTAAGACACCACCGACACTACTGGCTGCTCCAATCATAACATATCGCTTAATTTTTTTCAGTTTCGCAGCTTTATCTCTTACCATTTTTTGTTCTCTGAAAACGGAATTCCGTGTTTCATAATCTATGCATTCAAATACAGAACATTTCACTCCTACTTTTTAAAAAAATGTTGGCATTTATTTTTGATTATAAAAACCGCTCATGTATCAGATTACCGCTTTTGAAATCATTCACAGAGCTTTCAATCATGAGGAAACAGTGTGAATGTAAAGATTATACATCAAAAACGGGCAAAGAGTGGTGGTGTAGGGCGGTAAAAAAATTCCTTTCAATATTTTCACTGTAACTTCTACAATGCATGAATAGTTTTGGAGATCGAAGTCTGTGTTTTACAAGTTGTTGAAAAACAACAGCTTAATCCACACATAAATCTCATGTGTTGAAAGCAGTGAAAAAAAAAAATCATAATGATAATGAAAATGAAAATGAATGAATATTTTAACAAATATCATCTCAAATGACCAGAAATTTTCAAATATGTAAAAATAAAATATTTTCAATAGTACTTACTCGTTTTCTTTGTAATGATATCCAGTGATTGTATCAACTAGTGCATCCTCTATCTAAAACAAAGCGTTGATGAGATAAACATTTCGATGTTCTGAAGATCCCTAAACAATTAATATACTATTTTCTAATAATTTAAATTAAATGCTTAGAATAATATAATTAAGAAACAAACATTCTCGAAATCATCCCATCTTACAGACAGAAGTGCACAAATATGACGCAATAAGACACGATAACGACAATCATAAGTGCCTAAAAATACGTTATTCATTTATTTGAAACACCATTTGAAAAAATGCTTTTATTGTCTATATGACAGCTTTTGAAACTCTGAGCAGAAATTACTGAAATAAAATAAATTCATGCTAGTTGAATATCGAAGTTTTTCATCAAAAAATAAGACCTTAGATCGGAGATTTTAACCTCTCCTATTCCTCACTTAATCGTATCTGCAAATGAAACTTCAACCGAAAAGTAAACTCAAAGTCCTTTTTGATAAGAGTCATAAACATTTGACGAACCATACTCGGTGAAAGTAGACAAAAGACAAGCAAGAATAACTAAAGCTCCCTTCTGCTTTATAATTGGATCCTTCTTGATAAGAGTCACAAACGCTGCTATATCGTCTGTTGCACCTTCGCCCTAAAAAGTTGATTATAGTTAGAATTTATGAAGATTAGCTTGACAGTTAATGCTATAAAATGAACTCTGCATATTTTGTCTTCGAAGAAAAATAGTATATAGGCGACTGGTGCTAATAACGACACAAACTGTAAATTTGAGCTGAAAGAAAGCATTGTTCAATATAAAGCGATTACCACAACCTTCTGATTCCAGCTACTTATATTAATCATATCTAAGAAAAATGAGATTATCGAATTTTGGAGCCCGAAAATAATGCGAAATAGACAAACCATAAGGTGATGTCGCACGGTTACGTTTGTCCGCTCTGGCAATGCGGTATACTTGAGTACTTTTTCCATTGCTTGTGTACAAAACTCACTAAAATTCGACTTCATACTCGAACAGGAAATCAATTATTTCCCATAGTAATTATTGATATTATAACTGCTTTCATGAAATATTAATATCATAATATTAGATTCAACTCCGATCTTTGTTAATGATAACTCCTTATATTTAGTTCGGGATAGACTTAGTTGGAGAACTCACATATCGCTCAAGTGGTCGTTGTTCTGCCAAAAGTCAAGCCTAAGCACTGAAGCGATCAAATCAACCAGAGCGAACGATGCAGCGCTGCTTAATTGGTCATAAACGAACATAACCGATGAATTTACAAATATCGATGCATTTTCATTAAGGTCATTGTTTTCGAGAGATGTGTCTAAAACAAATTATTGATTTCCTCTGTCAAGACCATCTATAACTTATCATTATAAACAAAAGAAAAAGTTGAATTAGAAGTTATGCTAACAGTAACAAAATTTCTCACTTCATCACATCTTCTCTGAAGGTGACGAGGTACCTAGCTGAGACAAAAAATAGTTTCATCTCTAAAAATAATTAGTGGTCATAAATTACCAATGAGTTCATACATGAAGTTCAGAAAAATCAAATCAAGAAATTGAGGTAAGTAAAAATCCTTAGGACAATTCTTCGTGTTATCATCGAAAATCATAATAAGTGAGAATATTTTCCATCAAATAAGCCTTTCATTTTTATTTATAATGTTGGGATTATGAATAGTGAGCAATAACAAAAGATTACCCGGAGTCAATAAGCTTTGTCATGATCAAAGGAATGTATGAACAAAATACACATCTAGTTTAGTTATTCACAAGATTGTTTCACAACAGAAAAACAAACCCGACGATCCCCTTTCCGGAAATAATGGGTCGGATGCACTTTCTTGCAAACCATTCCTTCCTGAACTGGCCATCATAAATGACGGAAGCTCCTTTTCTTGTAACTTAAATTTTAAGCAACGTCAGCTCTTAAAAAGATCGATGATAAGCACAATAATATCTAAAATTAACAGGATTTACCCATTATACTGTTACTTCATTTTCATATATCAATTACAGAAGTGCAGAAAGAAACCCGAGTAAATCAAGAGTAAATCAATATACCAAGACTCGTTATTATAATTTCGGATAAGTACGGAAACTACTGCAGTTCAAACGACATACTATACACAACCGGAAATATCAAAGCGATTACTACATGTGAAGATACAAAAGCATCTAAAATTTATTTTTTTTTCGCAGAACCATAAATTACAATTATAAATAGACTGTTTAAGGAAACTCGAAATAATACTATATTCTTTGATCCACTGAGTTAAATGTGAAACTTGAAAATAATAATACATGATGGAAAGTTAAGAAAGTTGTCTATAAGACTGCATTAAAAACATGAAACTACAGTAAACATAAACGTATAACTTTCTAGTTAACAAAATCTAGGAACATAATAACGACTAACAAAGCCATGTTTCTCCAACCATGTATCTCTTTATTCACTAGTATATTCTTATTACCAACTGAATAATTATAACAGCGAATTGTTTAAAGTAACTTTAAAGATGCTTTGGTTAAAAATATTAGAAATATTTTTTTCACAAAGCCACTAAGCGTTCTTGTAATGAGAGCTGTGTTTTCGTTAAACTTGCCAAATAGGAAATCATCATATAATCCTGCAAAGAGTAATATCCACAATATAAAATGCAGTAGCTTCTAGCTAAACTTGGGAAGCAATCAATGCAGCGAATGTAATAATGGAAGCTTTAAATGAATAACTAACTTTGTGAGAAGATTGATAAAACAGAATAACTCACCCTCAAACTTGTTTTAACCAATACATCCAACTTTTCATCGGACATATGAGTTGCAGCAGTACTGACAATGTCCATCACACGTCGTCCAAACGACGAATCAACGGGTAATTCCGGTTTTTCAAGCACCTGAAACATAACAAATTACAAGTGAACTGTTACAAGTCTGAAAGTTAAAATACATTCGTCATCGAGAAATTTCTTTAACGGTCAAAATTTGAACTTCGTGAAAAGCAGAACTAAGAAAGATAAAAGGATTAATTCAAAATTATTTTTTTTAGTATTTTAGTATTTAATACATACAAGCACTAATCACTATATATTTCTCATTGTCTTGCTTCGAAATAAATAGATTTTCTTTCTGCTTGTATGTACAATGATTCTGTTTGAATCAGCATAATGGAAAAAAGATAACAGCCAAGACTTGCCTCATTCACATATTTCAAAAGTCTCTCCAACCAAATTATCATTTCACCCGTACTTTTCTCGAGTTGTTCCAAACCGTTCTCCAAAACAACCTCACGCTGTTTATTACTATAAGCTGTACCACTCTGCACTAAACTTAGCGCAACACCTTCACCAGGAAAAGCATCGAATTCAACTTTTAGCGGGTTAAAAATGGCACAATGTGGATCTCGAGTTCCAGGAATCCCAGCTTTAATCCTGTGAAAGAAAAAACGAAACTTAGAATAATAGAGGCACATTTCTGAATGTTTTTAGTAAGTTAATCAGGAAATGAAATTCATTTACAAGATCAGTGGAAAACAAATCAACCTCAAGTACGCTCGTATAGGCATCCGATAATTTTCATCTGATGAATTAAAAGTTGTATCAACAGTAAGCAGGATCACTGGTGGCGGTTCTTTCTTGGCTGATGATTCGCTTATCAAACGATTATAATAGTCATGATATGGCAAACAATGGATTGACAAATCGGCGTTGGTGTAAAACCTGCAATAGAAAATATGAATTCTTATAAATGACAACTAAGTCCAAATTTTTTATGACAAAATCAGTTTTTCAAACAAATTAGGGATAAAGCTTTATTTAAAGCGTTCATTAGAAAGAATGCGACTAAGATATGGACTTTTTGTATTAAATGTATACCACTGTTTCATGAACTACACCTTCCATGTTACATGCTAGTTTAGTGTACCGTCTTAATAATATTCATCACCTCGAAGCAAAAGAAATGCTATGCAACATCTTCCATTTCCACATTAAGTATTTGTCTTCTTTAGTTACGTCTCCAACATAAATGAATTATCTTTGAGATTAATTTATTAATTTAAGTAATTGACAGTAAAGCTCCAGTAGCATTTGATATGACGAGAAAGTTTATGATGTCAAAACTAAATTAGCTCTACCATCCAACTGGTTGTTCTGAAGGCGTTGCTCGTTTCATCATCATTAACATTGTCTGATTAAAGCCATCGTCTAGTTCTGGTGTGTCTTCTTTTTGTTCCCGGAATGGTATTGCGTAACAATTTGTTACCTAAAATTGTACAAAGCAAATGAAACATTAAGTTGTTGCTGTTTTCATATAATATTGTACAGCGAAATTAATATAAATGAGTTTTGATTATGACAGCATTCGTTGTTGAAAAGCCCAAGTAATCCTACAAAATAATTTTTGCATCTAAATAATCAAAGTGCTTTCAGAAATTTGTTGTATTTTTAACATAGGATTTATAAGTTTTATAAAAGTTCTGATATCCGACAAATACAACTCTTGAACATCTGAAATTAATTCACAAGTAAATTTGTCCATTCTAAACAAAATTTATATTCAACGTTAAGTTAATGCAAAATGTAAAGCAACTCTTTTATTTTGTCTTTGTAAATCACTCAATTTATAAAGAATTAGAATTCATTATTAGTGCATGTTCTACGGAGAACCTTCGCTTCCACAGCTTAATAATTGTGCTGTTTTAGACTTCAAAAAAACTTTTTTAAGGATCACTAAATCAAAAATGAATAATAATTGTTACGTATTATCACCATCAATGTTCCACAGAGAATAAACCTTTACAACAATTCCAGTCCGACGAACTATTCAAATCAGAAAACTTCCACGATATTAGTAATGACAGAAGGAAATAAATGAACTATTTTCGCTGTTGAATCTAGCGAGCGCTACATTACTCATACATGAAATTAATTGTGAATTAGGTTGTCTGAGTATCATACATGCAGTGAATTGTGAATCGCGGTTGTATTCGTCTGAGTATCATACATCCGTGAATATCATACCATAGCGGTTACAACTAACGCTAATTAATAGCAATCAATCTTGCATGATCTCACCAATAAGATTAAGTGGTCCACGTTAGTTTTTAGATTTGAGAAATTTATCTTAATGAAATAATAACAGTACCTGAATAGCATTTTTTTCATAGAATCCCATCAATGTGCCTAGTGCTTTGTCATTAGCACCCGGCTTGTTCGAGCGTCTTTCAAATGCGTCAACAATAGTCAAATATACAACCGGATGTACTTTAACCGTTAATGTCGAAGCCATCTTTCAGTTCACAACCAATTACCTTGAAAATCCTATTAAAGTACATAAAGCACCATACGAAGCAAAAGCGATCATAGCAATATATCAATCATACAGACTTATTGATTTATGCTCTGTCAACACTTTAATAGACTATAAAAGCAATCACCCCGCTATCGACCCGCTTTAGGATATGAGCCTAAGCCAACGGTGTATTGTAACTTTAAGGAAACGGCCTTCCACATGCCACAAATTACCTCGGTGTTGGCACATTCAGCGTGGGAATTTAAGTCTCGGCCCTTTGAGGCATTGAGAAGGCAGTAGCGGTGGTAGGTATTGTGTTAGAAATATTCTGTGACACAACCATATGAAGACACTGGCTTTATAAGCAGCCTTGACAAATTCAGTTCCGGACCGAAGAGCTGAACGCAATTTAAATTAAAAATTAAAAGGAACATATAATGCTCCTATCAATGTTACTGTATGGTGCAGAGAATTAATAATAATAATAATCCGTGCCACATTCATTGGAATGTAACGGAGATGCGGAAATGCTGTTTGTATTCTTTGAAATATTTTGTGATTGTTTTAGAACAAAACAATATTAAAATAACAATAAGCATTCCTTCTTGTTGCAAAAATGTGCGAGCTGAAATGATACAATGATACAATTGGAACAGAATGCCTCCTGTTCTCTAAAGAACTGCTCTGTGCAGCTGTTACAGATCCGTAAATAGGTGTTATAAAATGTGCACTTTCGATTCATTTTGCCCTCAGTACTTTTGCAGTGCATTTGGCGCAGATATTTTTTCGTTCTGGTGAAAAGAATGCACTCCTTTCAACCATTTGTGTTCGGAAAGTTAGAGCAAAGTAAACGTGTTGTGCATTTATTTGTGTAATTTAATTTTAATACTAAAGTGATGAAGGATAGGGAACTGATATCAGTTTGAGGAACCTTTTTTAGTTTATCTATGAAGCAAATTCATACTGTCAGTCTTTTCTCCAACTGTTCAAAGCATGTCTACGCCTATCAGACAATTTAAGGTTTAATCCATTCTCGCAGCAGCAAAATATACATTTTCGTATGTTAAGTATTGAACAAATTCTCGTATCATTAACATACGCTTGCTGTTTTAGTTCTTGTGTTAATGAAAATAAGATGTTATCACACAAATGAGTGAATTATAGTCATTTCAATCATTTTTTAATATAACCAACCTGCTTGATAATATTAACTTCCTCAAGACCCAGATCAGAACATGAGTTCAAATGTTGGGCTTCATAAACATTGATTTTGGTGAAAGTGCGGTTCGAGAAATTGCTATCCCTTTTCTTAACTGGTAAATATAGTAATCTGGTGAACAGAATAAGACAAAAATTTGATTTTTTCTAGATTTCAAAATCTTTTTTTTTTTGTTTTAGTGTTAACTACTAGAAATGACGTTAACAATATTTTTTTTCAGGTCGATAAATAACAACGTGCATATCAAACAGTAGATTGGTTGTTTTAGTGAAATCTAAATAAATATTCTAAGATGGATTTATGGAAATTTTTAAAGGCGTTTTCGAAAAATATTTATAAAAAATTTGCAAATGTAGCACTTCATGATCATTTATAAGAAGAGGAAATCAGTGGAAAAGTCATTAATCAGTTCATTCTTTTGACAGCACCATTCCAAGAGTTTGCTTGGCACCACATTCGAATTTAGAAGTCGGTGGTTTGATAGCCAATTTGAAGGATATTACTAATCTGATTTTAAACTCATCATATATGAATCATTACTGTTTCTATAGTTTTGAATCTTCATCCTGTTTCCAACAAATCAAATGTCGTTAGGTCTCTCAAACATTCTCTCTCTCTCTCAAAAAAAAACTCTCAAACATTGTTGGAATCCCACAATGTTTGAGAGTTCACTACACATAGAAAAAGCAAATTAAATCAAAAAATAGCACTTGCGCCTTGTTAACTACTAGAAATGACGTTAACAATTATTCATACCTAAAATTCTTTAAACCATTTCATCTAAACTTGTTGAAGTAATCTTAAACTCATTCCTAAATTAGTTTATTAACCAAACCCTAAAATCGGAGGGGAATTGTTCCTCCCAGATAACTAAAGCATTGTTTTTTCAAAAATGTTTTAGATGTTGGGAGATCCTTCAACTTAAAGCCTATGATCAGCATTAAACTACCGTGCAAGCTCTGCCGCCTAATATAAATTTATATTTAACAATTTTTATGCAAATTTTAAAGTAAAAGGAATCTAATAAATTGATTTGTAATTCACTACATAATCGAAAGATTGCCAACATTACAACTCAAACTCTAACTTTTTAAACAATTTTACCTTGAAATTACGATGAGATAGCTAGATTTTATTTCCCTTTTTATGATTAATTGCAAATAATAAATCTCTCCGCAAATGATAAATGTTTTTAAAATTTGCGAAGTTTTCCAATAAAAAATTTCTAACGAAATAATGAATTACATCAAACGGAGTTTCATAATCAAAAACAGATTCTCAAAAAGTAGTTATGAGGTAGTTGCAAGTATTTTGAAATAAAATTTCCATTCCAACATTTCAATTTTTTTCACGCTGTCTCATTTTACATTACACTAATTTCAGCAATTTTTAACTTAAAGTCTTAATGTAACTTCATATTTCATAGAATTTCAGTTAAATCTAATTCCAATTGGATTGGAATAGCGAAAACCAAACGAAAATGTCGGCATCGTAAGTTGAAATTTTTTTATGTGTCATGTTTATGATGAATGAGAGGTGACATTTATGGCCTTACTAAATTTCTAAAAGTCTCGAAAATATACCTTTTATATATCAATTCTCGAAGGTTTTTGGATTAATGACACTCATTTCTCTTTTCACAATATTAAAAATGTCTACAAAAATAAAGATCAAAATGAGGGATTCACCAATCTCTCTTTCAACAAAAAGAAACTCTAAATAATCAATGCTCAAAATCGCGAGAGTGCACAAATGTGATTGAGATTATATCGGCAAACATTCGAATTTGAAAACTGAAATGCACTGCCTACATCTCAATTTTCTATAATGGAAACATTTTTCTGAGCAATTTTGAAATTCAATTAATTTCCAAACGTTTTTGAAATGACCGAAGACTTGAAATACTTAGTCCTTAGTGAAAAAAAAAAAAAAAAAAAAATCTAAATTGATAATGTTCAAGTGAAAAAAAGAGAAATCTAAATTGAAGGCATAATGTATGATAATGTATTAATTTCAAGACAACTTTCAAATACAATATTTTTTGAATCCAGAAATTTTTGGTAAGAGAAATTGAAAAATTACCTCAGAAAATAAATTTAACTATCGCTAACTGTCCCTCATCTTTTTCATCCGTTCTTTCTATTGTACTTTTAGTAAGATCCAAGCAGATTGCAGTATTTTCACCAACTTAATGTTGCATAGCAACCCCTTATGGACTTTTCGACATTGCCAACAATACCTTTTTATCACTGAAATGACATTTTTAATTATACTGATAATTAACCTGGGCATTCTATTAAGCAGCATAACTTTAAAAATCGATAGCTTCTACCTTTGTTCCTCAGACATGAGAAAGATGCAAAGAGCTGGGTAATAGAAAAATGGAAGAAACTTCTCTTAAGTTCCTCTTTGGATGTAAAATTTCTTGAATTCTTTTCCCTTCTTATATGAGAATTAATCCAAATAAAAAAGCACAGTCAATCAATATCAGTGATTCACTTCACTTCTTCCTTACATTCTTCTTTTCCTTCCCTCCAAGAGAGCATAAAATGAATCGATAAATGTATGAATTATGTCATGACCATATCATTGTTTCCAATATGTCGTCTCCTTATACCAAACTATGCTTTCATTATGAGAGAGTTTTTAGATACAAAATTCTTTGGGGACAGAATTGAAGTTTTTTTCCCATCTCAACTTTATATGGGAAATAAAAAACACTGAAATTTTCAAATTTTACCTTCTTTACTATTTGAAAATGCTTTGTTCTGATTACTTTTTTCATTTCTTTAAATCTAAACAAAGAAAGTTTTAAAAAAGAAAATTATTGATTCTTATAATTACAGGCTGGACTTCACTTAAGTGAAGCTTGGAAATAACGGTTTAAATTATATGAATAGAAGCTTGAAAGTTAAATTCGGTCTAGCTTATCAGAGTAAGAAATCAAAAGCAAAGAAGTCGAACAACTCAACTTTTCAAGCAAACTTAGGACTGATTACTCAAATTACATAAAAACACAGCAGAAATTCATGTCTCTCCTTGTTTAATTAACCTTGATAGCAGCAACCTGCATAAAAAGTGGAACTAGGAACAATTTCAGTTCTTTCCTTTTCAAGTATGGATGACACTTTCTTTCTAAACAGCCTCTAAATAGCTCTCTTTTCATCCCTGCATCAGCATCATAACCGATCCTTATAAAATCATTTCTCTCAGATAATGAAATAAACAGTTTTGTGCCATAATATCATACAGTTGAGAATTACACGGAGAAGGAGAAGCTTCCGTCCTTTCATCTCATCATCCATCTAACCTGAAATACAACAGTGAATTGGCTGTGGAACTTGTTGGAGAAATTCTTCCTATCATAACAAAACAGCCCTTGGATTGATCGCAGTACATTGTGGAGTTCACATTCCTAATCGACCTTTCTTGTTTCTCAAATATTAACAAGTTTTGTTCACAAAAGATTAAATCAGGAAAGGTAGTTGGTTTTAGATATGTTTGTCTGTCCAGGTGGACAAATAGGTTTGAAAGGTCACGATCACATTGAGTTTCACTGAAGCATTTTATGATGATTAGCATTGTCTAAGTTGATGTATTGGTAAACGAATTCACGAAAACTAATGTTAGTGGACAAAAGAGATACCGTCGTTTTGTAAAGATAAAACCGTATGCCTGACATTAGGATAGTTGCCAATATGGTGCCCGCATGAATGAAAATAAATTTACTTCAAGTATCTTTTTCAACCTTACTAATTTTGTGCGCTCTCACGATTTG